GTTATCTGCACTGGATGAGCCTCAGCACAATCCTGGGAACTATTTTTACTCCCAATTTACAGATAAAAACCTAAGGCACACAGAGTTTGAAAACCAAGCCAGATTTGCACAGCTATAAGACTAGAGCCAAATTCTATCTTACTACCTCTCAGGTATTATATTTGTCTGTCACTACACGAAAAAGGGTATGTCAACTGCAGCCTGGGTGGGGAGGGGACAATTTTTTAAAAAGGATGATTAAAAAAAGGATGGAAGAATGAATAAATGGACAGATAGGTGCACTGACTCAAGCACCTTTACCAAAATAAAGGTCATCCTCATATTTTCTTCTAATTTTAAGGAATTAAAATAACTTTACAATACAATTTTCTGTAGTCATCCATTTTATTTGGTCAGAGCAAGTATCAAGGAAGGACTAATTGTTATAATCAGGTGGCCATTGAGACAGTACATGGTACTATACAGGACTTCACCTTTGGGGTCTGGATTCCTGGGTCTCCCTCTCCTTACGTTTGTGATCTCAAGCAACTAACCATCTTCCTGTGACTTAACTTCCTCATCTGGACATATAACAACTACCTAATAATAAAGCAAATGGGCCATGTGAGATAACACAGAGAAAATACATGACACAGTAGTTGCTCACGAAACATTAGTTCCAGCTAAGTATGCAAAAGAATGTAATCAAAAGATACACAAACTGCAGCTGAATGAACCATGAGGGAGTTAAGCCATAAAAAGTTTCTCTGGGTTCTGAGCCACAAACTTTCACGTACCATAATATATTTCAAATACACACGGCTCAACTCTCTTAGGTAAGCTGTTCATGAAGCTTTTTCTTCTAACCTCTCAAAATTCTCATAAGCTCCAAGCAACTCTGAGAAGTCGCCAGATCAAGAGTCAGGAGATGGGGTTTTTCCCTCTCTGATCTTTTCCTCCCATTCTAGACCTGAACTCATATACCTTGTTGGCAAATCTGAAAGGATGAAGTCTAGCATTGTTTGACAGAAACATAATGTGAGTAAATGCAAACCAATGTGAAATTTTAAATTTTCTAGTAGCCAGATAAAAAAAAATTAAAGCAAGTGAAATTTAACATTTTACTTAACATGATTTATCTAAAATATTATCATTTCAGTACTTAAGCAATATAAAAGAGGTTTTGAGATATTTTACATATTTTTTTGTACTAAAACTCTGCAATCTAGTATGTGTTTTACATTTACAGCTCATCTTAATCTAGACTATCATTTTGAGTGCTCAATAGCCATACGTGGTTAGGTAGCCATACCTAAAGAGCTATCATACTGGATAGTACAGGTCTAGAGATCAGTTAACTACAGTCACTTTCTATATAAGATATGATCAATGGGGGGAAAGGCCATTAAAACTATATATCTAATGGAGAACTGAGTAAAAAAACCAGATTTTCTGTATCTTTTAAAAACAATTATATAGTTTTATAAAAAAAAATACAAATGTCCCCCATTCTTCTATGTGTTAGAACTGGCTTTTCCTTGAAATAATGACACTGTAGGAATATTTATTTCTAATATAGCAATATCCTCTTACCCAAGGTTTTGCTTTCTGTGGTTCAGTGACCCACAGTCAACCACGGTGTGAAAGCAGATCATCTTCCTTCTGACATATTAGGTCAATAGCAGCCTAACAATAACAATATACTGACAATGCCTACATTATTCATCTCACTTCATCTCATCATATAGGCATTTTATCATCTCACATCACAAGAAGGGTGAGTACAGTAAGATATTCTGAGAGAGAGACCACATTCAGATAACTTTTATGAGAGTATATTATTATAATCATTTTATTACTAGTTATTACTGTTAATCTTTTACTGTGCCTGATTTATAAATTAAGCTTTATCATAGGTATGTATGTATGTACAGAAAAAAAACATAGTATATATAGGGGCAAAACAAGTTGGTTTCAGGCATCCACTGGGGGTCTTGGAACATATACCTATGGATAAGATAGGTGTACTATTGTACCTCCTGAATATTCTGTAGAAATTTTAAGGCAAGTAGTAAGATCTTGACATTAATTGAAACAATGTAAAATTATCTCAAATATATCAACATTCTTACCTTAGGATATTTAGTGCCAACTATCATTCCCTACTTACAGTTTCTATTCTACTCTATATCTTACAATCTATAGAAGGTAGATCCCATCCTTGGGGCATTTTGCTTTACTCTAATATTTATTTGTTAAATAAATATGGGCCAAAACTAGAATAGACTACTAGATTTCTGCAATATGAAACAATAATGCAACAGGAATTAGATTTTCTGTAGAACAAAAAGGGTAAAAACATTAAAGTTTTCCTAATTTATTTTTATGTTTATAGCTCCTGGGAACTTTGTTTTTGAAATTTAAAAAAAATTACTCATTTATTTGTAAATACATAACCTAAAGAGCAGCATGCCCATGTTTCATTGTTTCCATGCCCATTCTTCTCATTACTGCAAAGAAAATTAAATAGAACCCCGTGGATGAAGCTGTGTGGCTAGAAATGAGAACAAGACTAAACTGATAGCACTATTTTGGTTTGGCCAGACATCCCAGTAAGAAAAATATAGCAGCCAAGAAAATATTTTGGAAGAAGGACAAATTTAACATCAGTTTTGATTGTGGTGTCACAAAAAAGGCATGCATTACAGAAGATTTATCAGACCATCCCAGTTTGGGATATGGTAGAGGGAAGGAAGAAAACACATTACAACTGAAGCACAGTTCCCACCTCTCTACACGTATTACCAAAGGAATTTACAAATTCTTATCATTCCATCAGTCACCTGTAAGCAAACAATTTTACAGTCTTCTCCTTATATATATGATGTCATCTGACAGAATGGTCTAGTTCACTGTTCCCAGACAGGATACACTATAAAAGAGGCATTAACAGGGTAATAGACTACCCACATGTCCCTCTCCAGACCTGTCATTCCCCAGGGGAGAGAAAGAGAGAGGGGTGGTATTACAGGTGTGAAAGGGTCATTCCAGGTGCAAGGAAGAAAAACAACATAGCAGATGAACATAGTATCTGAAAAGAATGGGAGCAGGTAAGAAAGAAGTATGAAAAAATACCATCAGATATAATGGGCATACACCACAAGTTTAGTGTCAAGAAGAGCTAAAATTCAGAAATCCCAAGAAACAGGTCCTAAGGAGGAAGTTTGTCAGCAAGTAGAGAGGCTTCAAAAAACCATGGTAGGATTCAGAGGCAGGACTTCGTCAATGAGAAGGGGAAAGGAATTTTAAGTACTGGTCATCTTCCTAGACTGGGGGTTGTTAGGCTGCCTAGTTCTCAATGAGCCACAGATAAGTTTCAGAAGACCCCCTAACTCATATAAAATTTAATGAGATCCCTCAAACATCTACTAAATAAGAGGCTACTAACTCATTCTAAGGAATTTAAGGGCTTAACTGTTTGGCAAACAGAACTTGTAGTTAAGATTGTTATCCCAAATAAAAAGTAAAAATTAAATCCCTGAGCCTGCATTGTGGTCTCCAGTTCCTTAAATTTGTCTAGCTGAAGTGTTAGACTTGCCAAGTGCCCAGTTTATAGGAAAGAGTCAGGTTGCTTCAGATGGAGGGAGAAGTGAAGCAGAAATGGCTGGGAGCCAGGCAGGGACTAGAACTCTTCCCAGTCTTTGCTCTGCCTGTTTCCCACCATTCTTAGGCAATCATTGATGGGTTTCCATCAATAAATGAATTTCATCAAATATATATTAAAACGTGTCCTCTTTTTCCTTCTCCCCAACATCTCCACTAAAATAGAAACAGGTATTTTCTTATTATAAACAGATTTTTTAACAGCTGACATAGAAAAATATGGATTAAATCATCTTTTAGATTATCTATGTATTTAACTATTGTTATCTTTTCATCTCATGGGACTTGAACATTATATACTAACAAAAGATTATCTTGACTTATAGAACTTACTTTGATTCATCACAGATGATGCATTATGAAGATGTCTACTCAGGCAATACTGTAACATATTATGGTAGTACTTGGAGAAAATGCTAAGAAAATGAAGTAAGCTTATAAAGACCAGCCACCTGCTCTTTCCTGTAATGCAATTTACATTAGGGAATCCATTACTTTTTACACTAACTTAAGAAAATAAATGACTTCATTGGGAGTCAGGCAGATCCCAGCCTTGCAAGAAAGGGGAAGGGAACAAAGGAAGAAATATAACCTTATGTCTTCTCCTTTCACCTAAAGGTTTAGTAAATGGGTCACTTTAGTGGTGAGCTGTATTTACTTAGGTATATATAATGTAAATCCTTTTAATTTTTTTTAATTTTACCATTCATAAACTATTTTTAAGAGCATTTTTAGGTTTATATAAAAATTGAATAGAAGATATAAAGGGTTCTCGTATATAATCCAACAACCTCCACCACACACAATTTCCCCCATTATTAACATCTTGCATTAGTGGGGTACCATTTGTTACAAATGATAACCTAATATTGATACATTATTAACTAACCTCCATACTGTACATTAGGGTTTACCCTTTTCATTGTACATTCTGTAGGTTTGAAAATGTATTCACTATTACAGTGTCATATAGGATAGGTCCACTGCCCTAATAGTGTTCTATACTCTACCTATTTACCCTCCTCTACACTTCCTGTCCCTTTTGTTTTTAAAAAATCACAATTTTCAACAGAAAAACATTACAAATTTTGTTTTGTTGTTTTTTTTTTTTAAAGATTTTATTTATTTATTTGAGAGAGAGAGACTGAGAGAGAGAGAGCATGAGAGTGGGGAGGGTCAGGGGGAGAAGCAGACTCCCTGCTGAGCAGGGAGCCCGATGTGGGACTCGATCCTGGGACTCCAGGATCATGACCTGAGCCGAAGGCAGTTGCTTAACCAACTGAGCCACCCAGGTGCCCCAAATTTTGTTTTCATAGGATGTGTTGTAACTACTATTTTGTAAGGAAACTGAAACTTACCGGCTCAACAAATTCAAACTTCTTTTTTTCTTGAACCTCTTGAATTTTAAAGACATATTCTAGTGATGCTTCATAAAAATTCTGATGTTCTCGGTCAATCTGTGTATCTGCCTAAAGAGTAAAAAAAAGGCAACTCATGATGCAAAGAGTAATTATTGATGGTTCTATGTAGAAAAAGGACTCCAAAATCTTTATTAAAAATTAAGTTCTACAAAATGTTTTAATATAGCAATTATTATTATGTTTTGAACATACAGAGATGAGGAAAACACAGTCCTTGCCCACCAGAGTTTATATGATATGGAGTGTAAAGATGGGAGGGAGAGTAAGCATACAACATTCACCATAAAAAATATAAAGAAGGCATATAAATATATACGGAAATTTATGTGATCAAAGAAAAAGAAACTAAATTCAGGAAGAAAATGGTGGTGGTATATGTTGAATCTTAAGATGAACAACTGGCAGTAAATAGTGAAAGATAAAAAAATAGTCACTCCCATGAAAAAGTAAAGAGGCATGAAAGACACTGACAGAGTTTAGCTACAGAGTAAAAAAGTAGAGGACAGGAGGGTGAAGTAAGGTTGGCATCACACTTTAAAAAATCTTGGATACTTTGTAACAAATTTGGATTTTAACTAAGGGAGAATCATTTGAGACTATTCAGTAGAGTCTCATCATTAAGTGAGGTCTTAGAAAGAGAATACTGGTAGCAGAGCCAAAAAAAAAAAAAAAATTCAATGGTTCTAGCCTAGTGAATCATGTTCTATCAATGTTATGCACATTTATTATGCATAACTGCAATAAGGTTCTATTGATAAAGTGTGGGAAAGTGTTGTTGAGATAATTCTACCCCCCCCCTTTTTTTTGATGTTGCCTCTCCTCCATGCCCACTATCATCTTCTGATGTCCTCTTTAAAACTGATGTTGCTGGAGTGGTCGGGGGGTGGGAGCGATGGGGTGGCTGGGTGATAGACATTGGGGAGGGTATGTGCTCTGTGAATTGTGCAAGACTGTTGAATCACAGATCTGTACCTCTGAAACAAATAATGCAATATATGTTAAGAAAAAAAAAAAGAAGCAGAAGGGGACAGGAGGGGAAGAATGAAGGGGGGGAATCGGAGGGG